CAAGTATTTCCTTGGCAAAACTCTTGAATGCATTGCAAGCACAAGAGCAAAGGAGGTTGATTAGAGAAGAAGGATTTATGGAAGGTGCTTTACAAGCTAAGTTGTAGATTCAAGATGATGGCAAAGGAAAGAAAAAGAAGGGAAGGAAATGCAATGCCAACAAAGGAGATGCTAGAACAAACAGCAAGGAAGGAAAACATCCGCCATGTCAGCATTGTGGCAGAACTAATCATCCTTAATATAAATGTTGGAGGAGGCCTGATGTGAGGTGCAGGAAGTGCAACCAGATTGGCCATATGGAAAAGATTTGCAAGAACAAAGGCAATCAATACAAGAATGAGGCTGAGGTTGCAGACTAGCAGGTGAAGGAGCAGTTGTTTGTTGCTAATTTTGCATGCAGTAGCTCAAGTGATTGTTGGTTGATAGATAGTGTTGCACAAACCACATGAAAAATGATGAGGAGCTTTTCAAAGAGCTTGATAAGTTTGCAATTTCCAAAGTGAGAATTGGAAATAGTGAACACATTACTGTCAAGGGCATAGGGATAGTTGGCATTGAAAGCTTGTTAGGTACTAAACTCATTACTGATGTTCTTTATGTGCCTGATATTGACCAAAATTTGTTAAGTGTTGGCCAATTGTTGGAAAAGGGTTTCAGAGTGCTCTTTGAGGATAAAAAAGGTAGGATCAAAGAAGTAAATAGCTAGGAGGTGTTCGTAGTCAAAATGAGTGGCAAAAGCTTCTTTCCAGATCTAATGAAGCTGGAGCAAGTAGTTTTTCTAAGTTTTATGAGCAATGCATAGATCTAGCACAAAAGGCTAGGTCATTTTCATCATAGAGCACTTCTATTCATACAAATGAATGAGTTGGCACAAGGCTTACCAACTTTGGAGGAGGACTTACGTGATTGCAAGGCCTATCAATATGGCAAGCAAGTCAGGCTGCCATTTTCCAAGACTGCTTGGAGAGCATCACAAAAGCTTCAGCTCATTCACATTGATCTTGGAGGACCTCAGAAAACACCTTTATTGTAGGGAAGTAAATATTATATAGCATTTATTGATGATTTAACTATAATGTAATGGATTTACTTTCTACGGTTCAAATCTGAGGTTGCTATTGTGTTTTGGAAATTCAAAGCATGGATTGAAAATCAAAGTGGCTGTAGAATGAAAATGTTAAGATCAAACAATGGCAAAGAATACACTTTAGATAAGTTCAACAGGTTTTGTGAGAAAGCTGGAATAGAGCATCAATTTACAGTTCCTTACACTCCACAACAGAATGGAGCAATTGAAAGAAAAAATAGAACAATTATGGAAATGACCAGATGCATGCTACATGAGAAGGGCTTGCCTAAAGAATTCTGGGCAGATGCTGCAAACACTGTTATTTTCTTGCTGAATAGGCTTCCAACAAGAACTTTGCAACAAAAAACGCCTTTCGAAGCCTGGCATGGGTATAAACCATCTTTGGAGAATTTTAAAATATTTGGTAGTTTATGTTTCTCACATGTACCTCAGGTGAGAAGGGACAAGCTAGACAAGAAGGCTGAACCTGGTATTTTTATTGGCTACAATAACATCTCAAAGGCCGACAAAAATTTCCAACCTCAAACAGGTAAGATTTTGGTAAGCAAAAATGTCATATTACTGGAAGATGAGTAGTGGAGTTGGGAAAAGGCAGAGAGGACTCCAAACTCTAAGTTTTTGTAGCATTTTGAAGATAATGTTGATGATGTGCCAATTAGAGGAACAAGGTTGTTGTCTGATATTTACCAAAAGTGTAATGTTGCTATCCTTGAGCTTGCAGGATTTAAAGAAGCTAAGAAAGAGAAGAAGTGGATGAAAGCAAAAGAGGAAAACTAAGAATGATAGAGAAGAATTACACTTGGGGGCTAGTGAAGAGGCCTCAAAACAGGAAGACTATTAAGGTTAAATGGGTGTACAGAACCAAATTGAATGCAGATGGTTTTGTCAATAAGCACAAGGCAAGGCTTATGGTAAAAGGCTATGCTCAAATATTTGGTGTGGATTTTTTTGAAACCTTTGACACCTGCTCCAAGGTTAGATACAATCAGAATTTTACTAGCAATTGTAGCCAAAAAGAGCTGGAAGGTGTACCAGTTGGATGTTAAATCAACCTTCCTAAATGGATTCTTGTAGGAGGAGATATATGTGGAGTAGCCAGAAGGATTTGTTGCAAAAGAACATGAAGACAAAGTGTACTTGCTGAAAAAGGCTCTATGTGGTCTTAAATAGGCACCAAGGGCCTGGTACAGGAGGATAGATGATCATCTGCAGAGTCTAGAATTTGTGAAAAGTCCTTGTGAAGCTACCTTGTATGTGAACAAGATTGCTATTGACTTGATTATAGTATCTATCTATGTTGATGATTTGCTTGTGACAGGAAGCAAGGAAGAACTTATTAAGGAGTTTAAGGCAGATATGCTAAAGGTTTTTGAGATTACTGACCTTGGCATGATGTCTTACTTTCTTGGAATGGAAGTGGAGCAAAGTCATAATGAAATTTTTGTCTGTCAACACAAATATGCAAAGGAGATCCTCATAAAATTTCATATGGAGGATTGCAAAGCCACAATTGTTCCTATGAATCAAAAGGAGAGATTCAGCAAAGAAGATTGATCTGACAAGGTTGATGAAGGGCTTTATAGAAGTCTAATTGGGCGCCTAATGTATCTCGCAACAACTAGGCCTGACATAATACGTGTTGTGAACTTATTGTCTAGGTTTATGCACTGTGCCAGTGAGATACACTTTCAGGCTGCAAAAATGATTGTTAGATATATCAAAGGCACGATCAACTATGGTATTAGATTCTCTCACTGTCAAAATTTTAAATTCCATGGATTTTCTAATAGTGATTAGGTAGGTTCAGTTGATGATATGAGGAGTACAACTAGATTCTGTTTCAGCTTTGGCTCTAGGATGTTTTCTTGGTGCTTGAAGAAGCAAGAATTAGTGGCACAAAGTATTGTAGAAGTAACTATGTAGTTGCTATAGCAGCTGTTAATCAGACTTTATAGTTCAAAAAGGTGTTGATAGATTTGCATTTGGAGCATAAAGAAAGCACAGAAATATTTGTAGATAACCAAGCTGCTATATCTATATCTAACAATCCAATGTTTCATGGTAAGAGTAAGCATTTCAAAATTAAATTTATTTCTGAGGGATGTGCAGAAAGAAGGAGAACTACAATTGTTTTATTGCAAGTCAGAAGATCAAGTTGCTGATGTTTTAACTAAGGCACTGCCTAAAGCCAGATTTGAGTTTTAGAGAGGAAAGCTAGGAATTTGCAGCATCTGATACAAGGAGTGATGAATGTGATTCTCAAGATGCTACAAAAAAGTTGCTGACTTGGTCACTAGATTGATGAGGTGGAAGCTGGAGAATAGGTGTTTTAGTTGCTGTTGAATAACTCAAGTTTTGAAGCTGTCAAACTAGCTATTGCTAGAAATTAGGCATTAAGTCTGTTAGTTGTTGTTCATGTAAATGCGCAACACCTGTTTAGGCTTTTTTCATTTTTTTTTTTTTTTTTGTTGCATTTACTTGTATAAATTGCACTTTTCATTCAATGAAAAAATATGACGATTTGCATTCTAAATTCATTTTTCTTTCTTATTTTTTGTTGTCATTCTGCTGTTGTTCTTGTGAAAAACATCGATTGACTGTATGCACACTTGGTGTCCTTTGTTGTACCCTAATATGATGTCGTTTTGTCTTTATACAGTTGGCAGGGAAGGTGAAATACCACAAATATAGAAGGCTTCATCTTTTGGAAATTCACCATGCAGAAAATGGACCACAAGGCAAGTGTTGAGGGGGTAGGGTAGATGGGTCTAGCCGACCACTTATTGAAATGGAAAAATGTACGTGAAGCGAGAGACACCTCGCCATCGATGCAAAATTCTCCCATCACGTGCTTCAAGAGATACGATAAATCCCTGATTCTGTTGTAGTTTTTCTGCATCTGAGAAGTATGATGAAAGTTAATGATTTTCCTAAAACAAAAATCAATACATTTACCTGTTCTTCTGGAGCAATGTAAGGCCATAAGACCATTGTATTGGTCGTATGAGCCTTTTCTCCTAATCTTGCTATTTTCTTGTTTCTTTCTGTCTTTGTATGTGGCTTCATTGGACCAAGTTTCCTAAAGTTCAATTTTGTATGAAGGTTAATTAGGAAATCTTAGATTATAAAGGATTCCAAAAATCCAGTGACAGGAATATTTAATTAGTGAATCTATCTTATTAATGGATGTATAATATTTAGTCCGTCTCTGCTGATTATTTCATTGCGTATACCTAAGTTAATCCTAACTCAATCTAAATTTGTTATTGTGATCTTCCAAATCATGGTAAGCCCTCTTGGATCTAAGAGTTAATGTTAAGTGTTACATCTTTGCAAAAAGGCACTATGAGAATTTAGACTTATTGCAACAAAATAATTTATTATTATAAATATTAAAATTATGACAATTTCGTTAATATGAGGAATTGTATTGGTCACCAGGTTAGTCACATTAAGCTCGTACACATTAAGCTCGTACGCTTAAGTGTATGGTGACAAAAGAATGTTTAGTCACTATAGCCTAATTATTTATTGTGACAATAATAATTTGTCATTTTAAACTAGTTTATTTTGATAAATTATTTGTAATAATAGAAAGTAATTTTCACCACTACAAGTAATATTTTGTCACAATTGATTTACATTTAAAGACCGAATGACAAGCTTTATGATGAGAAAATAATATATTATGCCAAAATTGATTTTATCGAAATTGTGAATAGTGACAAAATTATTTGCTCAGAATCTTAACAGTGACAAAAATTTATTTGTCTTTGAATTTATTGTGACAACGTTTATTTTGTCACATGCTCGTTTATATGACAATATTATTTGTCAAAAATTGTATAGTGATGGAAATAATTTTGTAAAAAATTTAATAGCATGACAAATAATTTTTTATACAGATATATTTACATGACAAATTTTTTATTGTCAAAATAATATACGCGTGACAAATATTTTTTGTCATCTCAATAATGATAATTTCTAAAGGCAGCTGATATTTAAAAGAGTCCCGAAACGAACTTTATCTTCATCCTCAGCATTTTCGTCTTCTTTGGCCTTCTCTTCCTCTTCTTCGTATGGTTCTGAGTAAGGATTGACAAACACCATTTCGCTGGTTATCTTAATCTCCTCCAACACAAATGAGAGGAAAACAATATATACTGAGGACAGGATTCAATAATTTAATTTAAGTCAACTAATGTTATGATTAAGGCAGAGTCCAACAACCAATTTGATAAGAACATACTAAAGTATCTTCATAAAAATCATGGACTTTGTATTTCTAGATATGCAGCTTGAGTTAAGTTGAAGCCAGTTTGATGCTCAACCTTCCAGATAACATATGTTACCAAATAATATACTGATTCCTAACACGGCATTCACCAAAATTAAAAAGGCATCTTGCTTCCCAAAAAATCATATGCTAAATACACACTACATCTATCATCAGTCAGGGAATACCATTTAATTGTAAAACAGAAAGCAGTAAAAATTAGATACAGGTTTAAAATATATGTAGTTTTGGAGAGATTAATGCTAAACAAAGAACTCACCAGAGGTCGATCATTGTCATCAACAGGAACCTTCTCCATCGCTACCAATGTAGTCAAACCACCAACGACTCCTCCAAAAACTGTATGTTTGAAGCTTAAATGATTTGCAGATTTATACAAAATGAAAAACTAGGAACCATTTGTGTGTGGACCACTGTTCGCCATACTAACAACACCCCTTCCAGAGTGAAGCAACTTGGAGTTCACTTCATCTTTGAAGGACTTTCCCCAGGTAGATTCACCTCCTTTTCCAATAACAGTAGGATCACCACCTTGAATCATATAATTCCTACAGAGGTACATAGCTCTGTATTTCATCTCTCATATCTAGTTCCTTTTAACCAATTACACAGGAGGTAAAAGGCTTAATCCCCGAGACTCAACTCCTCAAGTCTCAAGGATTACAAAGCTCTTTCTATAGGTCTTGCACCTTAAATTTTTAACAATAAGCAGTTCGAAGATTCCATATCCTAGTGGGAAATAAATTCATTAGCAGACTCTTGCCTGATTTGTTATATCATAGACAATAATGGCGGTGGCAGCTCCTCTGAAGTACATTGGTGCCAAGCTATGGTACCTCTCTTGACCTGTTGTATCCCAAATCTCAAACTTTACATTGGCGTCATTTACAGCCAATGTTTGTGAGAAAAAGGCAGCGCCTATAGTCGATTCCTACAAAAATTATATAAAAAAAATCAAACTCTTGAAACCAAAAGGGGAAGGTTCACTAGCAATTATAAGTAGTCCAAAATACCTGAAATTCAACAAATTGCTCTTTAACAAAGCCCAACACAAGACTAGACTTTCCAGCTCCAACATCTCCAAGCAACACCTAAAGCATAAAGCACAAACAAACATCAATCAAAACCAAATTTCAGAAAAATAAATACAAAGAATACATCAAAACATGGTAAAACATACAATTAAACATCAACAATCTAATCAACACTAGCACCAGCAACTAATGAATGAAACACAATTCCAAATCAAGACCACATCACAATTATACATCATAATTCAGCACAAGGAAGCAATACTACTTTTCGAAGCAAACCCACATGAATTATTTTGCAAATGAAACAAAGCCAAAATGTAACTTGCCCTAAAACTCATTCAATATTAGTAGCCATCATGTTATTCAAACATTTAATTAAACATGAAAACTCATAACAACACCATCACCATAAACAAACTAAAAAGATAAACGATAAAATAAGGTCTATGATTAGCAATTAATGAATAAACGTAATTGTTATATGAAATTCGCTGAATCAAAATTAAATTTCAAAGCAAACCCACATCAGAATTTTCCATCAAAATTAAGCATAAACAATCGATACCAATTTACAAAGTAAACCCACATCAGAACATGAAGAATTCCGATCATAATTCTGAAAAATTAAAACAAACCCACATCAAAATTCGCCTAAAAAATCACAAAACAAATCACCAAAACAAAATGCCAAACAATTGACCCAGACCCATCTGAGAATCAACCAAAATAAAGAAATGAAGCAAGTCAAAATTACGAAAAGCTAACCAATTTGGCATTGATGTTTCTGTTTCCGATGGTGGCCATGAGGACGAGACCAAAATCAGAGCAAAAGGAATAAAGAAAGAAAATGGGGAAAAATGAGAGGGTTGACACAAAAACAGAAAGGTTAAAGGGGAAATGGGAAGGTTCCTCAACACCAACCTTTCTTCTCCTCTCCGTAAGGAATTCTAAAGGTACACGAAAGCCATTGCTTTTATTTTATTTTATGTTTTAAGTTTTTAATTAAAAATGAAAACGTTTATTTACAGTAATGATTACTATTAATTTTTTATTTTTGATTCACTTAAAAAAAAACTATTTAAAGATTATTTTGATTTTTTTTTTAAATAATTGGTGACAAATAAAATTAAGGATGTTCTAGGGTGTCATTAATAATTTTTTTGAAAAATATGTATAATTAGGGAAATTATTGAAAAATAAATTATTCTAATAAATTTTTTCTTGCAATAAGATAATTTATACAAGTTTAGATAAGAAAATAATTTTAAATTTTGAAATAAAAATTAAATTCTTCACAATTCATATACTTAATGATATAATTATTGAACGTTTAATGTGACAAACGTCATAAAACACAATGTCTATGACTATTAGAGATGAAATATCGAAATTTTCTGATGTTTTTATCAGGCCCATAAAGGCCCACTCATCGACTTTCACTGCCAACGTTTAGAAAGACTTGTAATGGGCCCAAATAGCATTACCAAAAAAAAAAAAAAAAAAAAAAGATCATCGTTTGGAAATGAGTACTTCTAAAGGCACTCCTTGAATCGAAATCATCTTTAATTCAATTTTTGTTACTTAATTCTTGTTCTTAGTAATTATTCTTGTGTTAAATAATTTTTGAAGACACCCACACCCCCCTTCGACCACTTCTGATGTTTTTATTAGGCCCATAAAGGCTTACACATCAACTTTAACTACCAAGATTTAGAAAGACTTATAATGGGCCCAAATAACATTATTAAAAAAGATCATCATTTGAAGATGAGTACTTTTTAATGCACTCCTTGAATCGAAATCATCTTTAATTCAATTGTTGTTACTTAACTCTTGTTCTTAGTAATTATTCTTGTATTAAATATTTTCCAAAGGTACCCCCTCTTTTATTTTTTTAGTGACATATATGTTAAAATTATTAATGAGTTTTTTTTAATGACATTTATGTTATTGCTAAAATCTTGAGAGGAATGACAAGCAGTTGTACACATATTAATTATGCTTTTTTAGCAAATTTTTGTCACAAAATATTATATTTAATTTGACTCAAAGATTTTGTCACTAGTACCTCGATTTTAACATTTATAAATGATAATTTTTTTTTTTTTTTGTTATGATAAATAATTCTTTTGTGGTAAATTAGTTTGTAATTATAACATGTATTACCAAATATAGTGACTAAAGTTTTTGATGATATATATGTTTGTCATGATAAACAATTTATCTCGACGTTTAAATTTTGATTCAAACATTTTGTCATTAATACTTCTATTTCAGCATATATTATGACAATTTTTTTAATAATAAATAATTTTTTTTTTTTTTTGTGACAAAATAATTTGTAGTTATAGCATGTATAACTAAATCTAGCGACTAAAATATTTTATAACAAAATATGTTTATCACAATAAAAATTTACCTAGGCACCAAAATTTGGCACCAAAAATTTGTGACAAAATATTATGATAAAAATGTTTTTTTTCACTATATTTCGTATAGGTTTCTTTATTGTGATAAAATATTATGACAATATATTTTTTTTTTTTTGTCATGTATATTCTCTTTATCATACTTAATATGATGTTTCTTTATTTTGTGATAATTCATACCAACTAGAGATATCCAACTGACCTCGGAAAGGGTCGGGCAAGATGTATGCGTAGTTACTGGTAACCAGCAAGGTTGCTGAAACGATGTAGTAAAATAAAGGACACAAGAGATTTTATAGTGGTTCAGCTATATAGAAACCAAACCTACATCCACTGTCATTTTATTATTATGGGGTGTTACAAGGTCGAATGAGGTTACGAGCGGAAAGTCTGCGAGATGAATGGAAGGCATTCGATTCTTATGACCTATCCACTGTAAACTCTCTCTAAAAGATCAATGTATTTTTCTCTTGAGCTTTACTAATACTAGAATCTCGTAAAACGAAGGCGTCAACCAACCCATGTGTGGTGGTCAACTGGAACTCTTATGTGTATTACTCAAGAAGTCTTTAGTTCAATTCCCTTTAGTTGCTAATAAAAGTAGCCACTAGAGGATTACTTGGTCGTTAACCTTAGGGACCCAGAAGATTAGTCGAAGTGTGCACAAGCTTGTTCGGACACCCCTTATTACCCAAAAAAAAAAAAAAAAAAAAAACCAAGACCTTAGCTCACCTGACAATGGTTGAGAGTGGGTGTTACGGGATTGCTTGAATGTGTGACCCCCTTAATTAGGATTTGATTCAGTCATTCCCATGCTTGTGACAGGTTGAACCATGCTAATGGCAGTTTAACTTATGCTTTTAACAGTAATCACCTTGAGAGAAGACAAGCGCTGATGAGATGACACGTGAGAGGATCTAGGCCATTAGCTTTAAACACATCTTGAGGATGCGTGGCACAAATCTAACCGTTAGGAAATTAGGCACAACAAGGCTCACTGGCAATAAAGAGATCTTTGTTATTACATCAAATTTTTGATAGGTATGGATAAGAAAAAGAAAACTTCAACCTTTCAAATTTAAAAGCTTATTTCATTATAGACATGTACAAGTAACAACAGTGAATGATAATTTAAGATCCTCTCAAAAACATGGCCATGATCGCTAAGAATCCATAGGCTGTGGTAATATATCCACCACTTGTGATCATTCTTACAGCATGGCCAGCTCTGTGGCCAACGACCAAGATGCCACAGAAGCAGCAAAGAAACCCAATTGCATCGCAAATTCTAGCAAACTGCTTGAGGATTTCATTGTTAGGCGATGAAGAATTGCTGCTGGTGGACCCATTTGTCAACAGAGTGAGAGCTAGTTGGGCAGCTACAACCAGTGTGGTCTCTGTCATTCGACCTCGATTGAACCATGGCTTTGAATCTTGGTCATTGCCAGGGTGAAAGCAGGACCCTGTTTTCTCATGTGCTAAACATAAAATAGTTATATCATAAGTTGGAGACATATTGGAACCTATCTTTTCATATTAAAAAAAAAAATAATAATAAAAAAATAAAACCCTTAAATCATGAATAAAAACTAGATTTTTTTTTTTGTTATTATAATTAAAATTTAAATTTTAAGTGTTTTTTAATTTTGAGAAACACTAGTTATAACAAACACCAAACGAAATATGGGAAACAAATAAATATTCAAAACAGTTTCTGAATTATCTAACGAATATTTTTCTCCCAAAAACATTATAAAATAGTTACTAATACTTCACTCCATCAACTTGATTAATATTTCAATGCAAAGCAAATGATTGCTAGTGTACTTAGAGCGCAAACCCCGAGAGTTCCCCTAACCATCAGCTCGTTGGGCAAGTGGAGCCCAATGACGGTCACAAGGGCGAACGCCGTTGCAACAATGCCAGTTGCCCTCATAATCTGTGTAGCTTTGCGGAATCGTTCATACCGAGATAAAAATAAACCATAGAAAAAAGAGACGAGGCTAAAAACAACGCAAGTTAAAAGAAACTACCAAAGGCATTTGGCTTCACTTGACATTTCTGTGTTGGAGTTCTTGGCCCAAACTGCAACTACAATGAAAATGATTTGAACTCCCAACATAATGGCATTCTCAAGTCCGTACTTACCTTTATGGTCATTACCCCATTAATATTCCATTTTTTGATGGAGTTTCCTTCTTTCCATCATCATCATCAGGTGGAGTTTGGCTTCCTGCTAGAAAGGAGGAAGTTCCAGATTCAGTATCAGATGATTCTTCTGCAGAATGAACAGTTTTGCTTGGTGGAGAAGAATTTATTGCGGTTGAGACAGCCCCTCCGGCTTCGATATCAAACATTGCTGGTGCATTACCAGTTCGGTTGGGCGGAGTTGAATCTGGATCAGCTTGTTGGTTGTGATTCTGAACACCATCACCATAGGAAGTTTGATATCGAATTGGATTGGCATGCTCTTGAAGAGACGCTGAAGTAGAATGATAGGAATAATTACAGTGTTGAAAAATGGCTTTTAGCAAAATCACATGGGGTAGAAATGATAATGGAAAAAGGTTTAGGGACTTATATGTAATAGGCCAAGAAAAGGTTGTTTGTCCCACATTGATTAGGATTGAAAAGTGGGAAACTTTTGGGGCCTATATATAAGGACCTAAATCAATGTTAATTGTATCCCAAGTTGTAATTCCATTATACTTCTTTTGTTTAGGGTTATTTCTTTAAGGACCCTTTAGTTTGCAAGTTTTGTTGTATCTCCCCTTTGTTTTGGGTATTTGTTGTATGCCCAATATTTGTAATATTGTTTGGAGATAGTGGAGTTTTCTTTTGCAGCGCCTGAGGACGTAGGTTTTAATACCGAACCTCGTTATTCCTGGTATTCTTATTTTTGCATTTATTTTTGGCAATTTATTTATGCTTTATTACTTGTATTATTATATTCAATAAGCTAGCGTTAGAGGTTATGTTTCCGTTGCATAACAATTGGTATCAGAGCCTAGGTTTAGGATAGTGGTAGCTATTTGTATGGTTATATGCATGTCTAGGAAAATTCTGTCAAAAAGACGATAAAAGTCTAAGGAGCTGGATTTTAAGTGGGACCATTTGTGACCCCTCCATTGTTTCCTGGGAATTTTCCTGGTGCGTATTTAATCATTTCAGCACTTACTACTACCTAGGGCTATTGTGATGTTGGTTAGCTATTGATATAATAATTTGTGGAGCTGGTTATTGGGAACTTTGTTTACCAAGCTAATTGAGTAAGGCATAAATGGCATCATTGTCCGAGGATTCATCGTCCGAGGCATCACCGTCCGCGCACACCATCCCACTAGTAAAGATGATAACGGTTTCAATGCAAAAATTGATGTTGAAAAATTTATGGCCAAATAATTTTGGCTTGTGGCAGAGTGAGGTAATGGATAGCTTGTATCAGCAGATCTAGATATCGTTCTGGAGGAGGAAAAACCAGAAGATGTCTTTGAGAAAGACTGGGTGAGGTTGAAT